GGAAAATTATATCTATTGTCATTTTTAATGTCGCTGCCAACTCTATATCAAAACTACTTCTGGGTTGAAGTATATTACTAAATGGATTTTCCTCAAACGAATACGGAAGTACAGCAAAATCTTTATTTGCATCGAATCTCCTGATGGATTGATTTTGTAAAGCGTTCAGAGTCCGATACACTTCATTCCAGGTAGGCCGGGCGAATGGCAGATATGGAACGGTAGCAGAGCCGTACCGTCAAATTTCCAGGCCTGGTATGAGCTTCAGTACCGGGCCCTTTCATAAGGTCAATATATCCGATATTACGTAATAGTTTTTGCTCCAGAATAATAATAGTATTTTGGAACGAAGTAATATTCTACGTACGTATTAAGAGCATCGGCTGGACGGAGAAAATTCAATTGTAAACACCTTGAAGTTACATAAATATGTGAATATGGCGAACTTTTCGCTTACTTCCCAACGCCTCTCAAAACCTTTTCGATTAATTACTTTTCTGTCCGTTTTAAAGGTTTGAAAAATTAAGAGAAAAATTTGGAATTCGTGAAAATGCAGGTCCGAAAATTCAATTTAATTCTTAAAACACGGATTTTATATTTCTTGAATTCAGGTACAAATTCAAAGACATAAATACAATATTTTGAAAAGCTAACGTCTTGGCTGAAAATAGCTTTTAAAATTGACGAAGCGGTAAGAATATAAAAATATACAATTGTACACATTTGGGCCTGAAGCCGTCAGACTATAGCCTGACTAACTATGAGATGACGCCAGCGGTTTCGCTACGATTTTGACGAAATCACGATAATTATGTTACCTTAGAGAAATAATTGAACACGTGTTTCAGGATTTTTCATAATGCTCAGCTTAAATGAAATTAGGACGGAATCTGGGAGCGAGAATGTCCATATTGACCGTGAAATTTTTCTCGCGAGGCGCGAGGGAGAAAAATACAGATTCTCGCATATGAATTCTATAATAATTTCGTTAAAGCTTAAATCCGTGGGCATGAAATGATTTCCTCAAATTTTGACCGAAAAATTTTAAATTACTCACATGAGGAAATAAGCGGACTTGTATTTTTGCACATATTTTCCTGCATAGCCCGTTTCCGCCTGTGAGGAAATTTTTTAATACATTTTCTGCAAATTTGGATTTCTCAATGTGATAAATTTTGATCGTATTTCAAAAATGAAAGACATTAACATTTTTTCACGGAATTACATTGAGTTAAGAAACTTCCACATTTCAGAAACTTTAAATTTTTCGAATTTTCTGGCCTGTAGCATTTTTTCAAAATTCCGAAATAGAATAAAAATTTTAATCGTTAATAGTTTTTCGAAAAACAGTTTTTATAATTTTGTGGACTTAATTTTTTAGCAAACATGTTCTTTAATTTCTGAAATAGCGTTAAAATTAGAAAATTAACAGCTTTTTGAAAAATCTTTATTTGGAAATTCAGGAAAAAGAAAATCACGGGTCGGGTTATTTCAGTGTGTGAGTAATTTCAAATTGGTCGGGTCAAAATTTGAGGAAACCATTTCATGCTCACAAATTTTAAGCTTTAACGAAATTATGATGGAATTCGAATGCGAGAATCTGTATTTTACTCCCTCGCGAGAAAATTCTCACGGTGAAAATGGAAATTCTCGTTCACGGATTCCGACATAATTTTATTTAAGCTGAGCATTATGAAAAATCCTGAAACACGTGCTTAATTATTTGTCTAATGTTACCTAATTATCGTTGTTTCGCCAAAATCGGAGCGAGACCTTTGGGGTCATCGAGTTGTAAGTTTAGGGTCCTAAGTTTGTGTCTAAAGTTTGTCCCTGGGCTAAGGTGAGTTTGCCCCCTAGCAAGGCACATTTGAAGTTGTCAAACAGTATCTTTGTTTCTTTCACGTTGAATTTTTGCATATTTTCGGTTCCAAGAAATTAAGAATGTACCAACTCATTACATGTACAGAATTTCCCACAATCACACAAAATAAGTATAATAGAAAAATTATAACTGTTGAGAAATTTTGGTGTAAGGTAATTCACATTAATATGTAGGAATTATAACTAAAAATGCGTAGGCATGAAGTGATCCTCTCCAACTTTTACCCTACAAATTTTAAATTGCTTAGGCACAGAAATAAGTCGGCCCACACTTTTAGGTTTTCTTCAATATGCCTAACTTCCATTTTAGCTGAATTTTTAAAAGAAGTGGAAGTGTGGAAGTTTCAGCTAAAATCATGATTTTGTATATTAATTAAAATTCGAAAGACAAACTATTAAAATTACAAATTGCACAGTATATTTGCTCTAGATTCATAAAAAAGTGTAAGCGAATGAAATTCATACAAAAATTGAACATGGAAAACAAATAAGATCTAGCAGTTTAATGTTAGATGTAAGAAAATTTATTTGCGTGGAATATTTTTTTTAATCGTCAATACACAAAAATGTCCATTATATCTAGTGTAAAGCTAGCGACCTGGCCCGGGCCCTGACGGGCCCCGGGCCTGGTATTTGGTACCACAATATACCACGGTTGGTACGGTACTGAACGGTAGTTATAAATCTACGCCATGATTGAGCCAAATGGTTCCCTAAAGCAACGATATATGTATCAAACATTCGAATTCTACCAATGTGGCATTCCGTTCTATCTAGTTTGCATCCTGGTTTAGTCAGCTGATCGAACCTTGTCACCGATCTTAATTTTAACGGCGACGATATTGCAGTAATGCTTAACCCCAAATACCCATTTGTTAATATTTGGAGTAGAAGCAACCAAAGCGAGAATATGAACTTAAATGCAAAATTTTTTTCCATCTTCTTATTTAAGTTTGTCGGCTTCTCAAAAACAATGGATATAACGGCCAGCTGTGCGAAAGACATCGCATCCAGGCATCCCCAGTGCAGCTTAGTTATCAAAATTACGACAAGAACAGTCGCTATAGTTACCTGGGTCAACACTAGCGCTATCCAGACCTATTTCTCGAATGGCTTCAGAAACGCTTGAAATGACAACTCATCTTTAGAATAACAGGTCATGAATGAAAACCCTTCATTCGTCGTGGTGACATGAAATACGGGGATGTACTGTATAGCGCGGAATGTAATCCCCTTTCGATATACGTCCAACATAACGCGTTCGCTGTACGTAAATTTTTCGCTAGATCCACCTTCACGGTAATCGTTGAACGAGACACCAATATCGTGCGCTAGACCCTCTGTGAAATTTCCTACGCAGATGAGGCTAAAGAAGAGTATGGCACGGGGACGATACAGTTTGTTAATAATAAGGTCAAATGCATTATTGCCATATGCCTTTCAAGACTCTTTCAGGCTGTAGCTTCCAAGTAGATTAAGGGACGACTTCTTCTCAGTTCTCAGTTGTAGTTGGCTTGGAGGGTCGACCAGCGAGTGAAATTGAGAATGGTTACGCAAGGCTTGGACGACTATTTGGGTTTCAAGCGCAATGAGCAAAAACCATCACATCGACCTCTCAAGAGTAAAAAACGATTGAATTTATTTGGATTTATTTTATACCATCCAACGAAAATATGGATTATTCCAACAAAAATTAATAACTTCGGCAATCATGACGTATGCAACCAATTGATTTATTTTACAACGCTTTTCATTAAAATTTCCACCGAAATAATTTACTGTTTAGCCTGAACCAGGGCTTATATAATTGTTATGATGTCCGTCCGTCTGTCCGTCTGTATGTCCTTCAATAACTTACGAAAAAGTTTACCGATTGATGGCGATTGACTTAAAATTTTTACCATATTGTATGAAGGGTGTCCTAAAAGTTTGATGACTTTTTCACTCGGTTTTTGTTGATTACTTTTGTATTTGTAAGTTTTGTTGTGAAATGTTTCTTTGCAATACGATACCAAAGAAAATGTCGTCTCGCCAGCACACGGAAAAAAGCACCATATCATTATCCAGTGTAGGGGACCGTTTAATTGGCACCCAATTTATTTTTGGAAAATGCCGCTCTACGTCAGTGCCTGGTGCTGCCAAGAAGTAAAAGATTAACACAAACTACTTGTATCATATTAAAGCCCATGAATTGTGGGTCAAAATGTATGCAAACAAATCTGCGCCAAAACATACGGAAGGTCATGAAAAATGTTAAACGCAACATCTCCTAAGCTTTACAACAAAATTTCACCAAAAAATATGTCCATTGACGACGAGTCCTACGTCCTTGGAAACGTGTAAGAAACTCCGGGAAGGTAATTTTTTCATGGGAAATATATCTCTCAACTGAAATCCGGAGAGAAATTAAAATGTTCTTCGAAATTTCTTAAGAAGTTACGGATTTGGCCGTGGTTGGTCGAATTTGGGCATTTTTGGGACCATTTAGTTGAAAAGGGCTGTGCACAGGTTTATTTTCAGAAATTCGAGATAGACCGTCTGATTCCTTTCATCAAGGAGTATCAAAAACATAAAATCCAGGGTTGGGGTGAAATGCAACATGCAATTTGGAACCCTATTATATTGTCTATTAATTGCAGGAACGGCTTTGGAATATCTCTTATTGTTCCTGAGAAATTGTCCTTTAAATTTAGAGGTTCCCCTTACCCGAATAATATTGCTCCCTAGTGTATATGGTTTATTAGATCTCAGCTATTCAAAGGATCGCAAAAACTACAAAAAATACTTCGCCAAGGCCATATCAAGTGGGAAAGACCCAAGCACATTCCACGAATGGAATCCCGTTTCCATGAATTCTGCAAAACGGATAGTTCCTCTTTGTGGAATGCGTCTAATTCTTGGGATTGTGTGCAGTATCGTCGAGTGAGTGCCTTGAGTTTTTTAGCATTCTGGTTGAGTTGCTGACCTTCTAACTCCAAATCCATTGGCTATGAACATTGTCACGAATTTTTCGGTTGTTGCCCGATTTTCAAAGGTTTGAACTTTTTGAAGCTTTGTACGTTTCTACGAAATGTATATTTTCAGAATTTCCCGATATGACCACACCCCCTTTCCATAAATACATACACAGACGATTTATTAAAGAACCTTAAATTCAAATTAATAGTAGTCATATACATACATACAAGCATTTGTTAGAAGCCTGTATTCAATAAAAACTTCAAATTGCATAAAAAATATTGGTGTTTTTAGGCCTTCGATACCCAAAAACTCCCACAAACCAGCGACCCTTTAGTTACATGTCCTATAGATCGTCATAATGTGGAGGCACTGTAATCAATACACATAAATAGTGAAATTCCTCGTCCAGCTTTACCTTTATAAATTAATAAAAAATTTCCATTCATAAATCCATACTCACACGTTTCCATGGACATCAGTGATCCCCGACGAGACGAGATACGCGAATATGACGGTAGTAAGAGCGACAGGAGGGATGACACGGAGTGTGACCTCATCCTGGAGAAAAATCTAGGGCCTTGGACTCCTTCTACAAACTTCCCAGACCCGATGCATATTTCCTCCTCTCCTTCTATTTTTTCTAAGGAGTTGGTAAAATCCACATCAAACTGCAATTAATGCAGCACAAAAATATTATGGGCTCCCTTTTTAATTTATCTCCCTTATAAAATTCCATAATCAAGTTTCCGATTGAATTTCGCATATTTACACTTTCAATAATAATTAGGGACAAAATTATCGACGGTCTTCGTACTATGTGGCCCTTTCTAAGGTAATAATTACCGTTAGGGTTGTTAATATGTCATTTGTCAAGACATGTCGACATATAAAGAATGTCATAAATGTCATGTATTTCGCCACTACGACGTTGACGGACATTTACGACATGACACTGACACATCTGAGAGGACATGGCATTTACTCCTTGACATGACATATTGACAACCCTAATTACATGGTCATGCCCATCTGCTGATAAATTATTACCGTACCGGATATATGTACCTGCATGGTGCGTAGCTATATATATCCGGGATCGGTATTAGAAATATATTTTTTTCCATTAGACCGTTGCCAATTTGAAGTTAGCATCCGTGTATTCTTTTGTTACCCTTTCGTGATAAATTATCACCGACACGACAGGGCCACATAGTAGATCCGACAAAAAACATTTATATCCAGTGTAACCAACTACATAATCCCCACTCTGTTACTAACCTTCAAAAAATGCTGGATTTTTAACCCGCTCTCTCTCCCTTGACTATACGTCGCCAACAACATTCCCCCCTTCCCCGCCGTCTTATTCTTTGGGTCGAGCAACTTCCCGCTAAATCTCAGCCTGAATCCGGTCACCTGCTTGGACTCGGATTTCGACTCGATCACAGACTCCTCGACGACCACCCCACCCATTGAAACCCTTTGCACGACGGAGACCCCACATTCCACGGAAAGTTCGAAATTCTCGACAAATTCGAGCTCCACACTGAAAACGACTTCCTCTTTAATCCAAAGCCGGTAAAATTTCTGGGGTGAGGTGCAAAACGCGGTAACCTTTTTACCGATAAAAGTCCCACGCAAAGTTTCACCCTCGTTCTGAAACGAGATCAAATTATGCCCACGAAATCTTTCCAGTGGTTTTCTGTCGAGTTCTATGTAGCCATTTTCCGTGCGGAGGTAGGCCACTAAAAAGTACTCGATCCGAACAGGGGGTCCTTCCAGGCTGGCGGGGAATTGGTGAGTTGCAGGGAGTCGGAGTTCGAACGGAAACGAGGCTGGATTTCGTACCAGGAAGAGAGGAGTCTTATTTTTGGGGTCGAGTTCCTTTTTAATTCCTGCAAGATTAATGTATGATTAACCATTTAGACTGTAACGAAGACAATAGTCGTTTTATAAGAAATAGTTTAATTCTAGACTAAGACAAAAGTTGTCCTGAAAAATCGTGGTCATGGCGCGGAAGGAAGACAATTGTCGTTTCTAGGAGGTCATTGATTTTCACCATTTTCTCTCCGCGACCTCAAATTTGTTGCAATTTTGAGGGATTATCTTCTATGCCATCACAACGCTAAATTTGAAGATTTTCTTCCCGAAAATTTTTATATTTCCCGATACAACGCAATGTTAAATTTTTAATTTTTCAATTCTTCGAGTGTTATTAAAACTCCTGAATTTCTCCTCCCGCGCCATGACCACACACATTGTTTTGTGCACAAATTGTTTCTGCATAAATTTTTATATTCAGAAAATCCAGGTAATTCTCTGCATAAACCCAGGCCAAAGTGCGGTATAAAATCCCTTAAATTGTACACCAATTGGTGGACAATTTTTTATGAAATTTTTTTCCAGAGCCTTTAAAGAACCCATTTATTGGTTACAAATAGTATACTTTTTACCACTTTCTTCCCCAGATACCACCGTAAAGATCCTTGATTTGCAAATAAGTTGGGGATGTTCGTCCGGCACAAGCTCCGACAAAGGGGTGCGACATGTTTTCCCACTTTTATTTGTAGTTGTGAGGTGACCCTGTAGTTCTAGTACGAGTGCTGTCAAGGAACATATTTATATGTATAGTAAGTAAGATTTTTTCAATCACACATAAATACAGATTGGCTCAGAAATATTGCTACAAGGAAATAAATTCTTCATCTAAACACGTACCAGATAGAATATTTTTTCTAGAACTATTTATGATTTGCTAAAAAAAATATTACGCCTTTCGTACATATTTCAACGAATTGAAAATAATAAACCGTCGTTAACGCATGTAAGAAAGTAGCTTCAGACGAGTTCCCCCAAATACTCCCACGACATCTGGGGAGTACTTAATTTCATAGTATCTCATTTATAGATGCAATTTTCATAAAAATCTCAGCTTGCCCCGACCACTCCCCCTGGGTGCGACACGGTTCGGGGTCACTTAACTTCTCTCCATTTCATTCATAGTTTCAAGTTTTGTAAAAATCTCATTTTGCCCCGACCACGCCCCCTGACCCTGGGAGGGGGGGGGGTGGTCCGTTTGACCCAAAAATTTGATAGGATCCTCCCCCAGGGGGTCCGATGTATGGTGGCGCAAATCGATTTCGATTATCTCTATCCGCACTTACGTTACAGACGGACAAAGGCTTCGCATAAAGTAGCTTAAGCTACTTATTTAATAATTCCTTTCTTACAATACGTCATCCCCACTCTGTTGTAAACCCATGTTTAACAAATTCTTACCATAATAATGCCAATTGTCGGCCTTGTTGGTGTCAATTTTACAAATCTTGTGTCCAATTTTCTGCGTTATTTTCAATTTTCCGCAAACCTCGTTCCGTCTCCGACCCCAGGGGAGGTCAATTTCTGCCATAATAAATTCCAAATTACTTTCCCTGTTGCCGTACGCCGCAATTGACAAACCCATCCCTCCACCCACACACGCTCCCATGGCGAACATTGCAAATACTTTTACAATTTTTTCTGTACGTTGTACATGAATACTAAAGACAACGTAAAATCAGAAAAGAAATATTTTCAGACTGAACTAGAGGAACTCTGCTTCCCATATGTTTATTTCATGCCACAAATTCCTAGCAAGTCTATGTATGTATTTATGTACCTATGTATAGAGATGAGCGTAAAGGCTGCCGAGCTTTCACTTCGGTACCCGGGTAGAATCTGGTAAGAGAGCATTCGTAAATTAATAATAGAAACTTGGATATGGAGTCCATATCCAAACCGTAGTAACGTTAGAAGTAGCTCACCCTGTAATAATGATTTGGTTTTAACTTGCCCCAAACGTGCAGAAGAATGCAACAAAATAGATACATAATTATTATGCAATTATGCACCAATGGTACAGAAAAATCCAACAAAGCAGATCAATAATTTGTATGCAATATTGCGCCAATGGTTAAAATCAAGTAAAGCTACATCCATAGTCCGTGATCGTTAACATACAGACGGGCTTGGAGGGCTTGGAGTACGTACTCCGGCCTCCGGAGGCCGGAGTACGCAACTTTTTCTGAAGGCCGGAGTACGCGAGGTTTGCCGGAGGCCGGAGTACGTAGAGGCTGGAGTACGCAAAATATCCGATCTATGCTGAACAAGGTGGTAATCTAGTTAAGAAATCTTTCGTTCCTTGTCAAAATTTCCTGCACGGGCTTGTACGCACTGCCCCTGCTGGATCGCGGTACGGGTCATCTTCGTGAGAAAAATGTCAGACTTTCCACCGTGGAGAAAAATTTATTAGCAAAAATAGTCAGATATTTGCTCTACGGAGGTCAATAAGATGCCATCAGCATGGTGTGAATGGAAGCAAGTTGGCCGAAGCTCTGTTTGTCCCCGCAAAGAGTAAAAGCTAAAGCCAAGAAATATTGTCTTAAATACAGCCAACAGTTAAACCCTTGGACCCAGAACACTTGGGGAACCAACACTTGACATTCCAACAAAACTCTGCTCCTTGTCCGAAAATTGTCCAAAAATAGCTTCGAGACTTCTAACTTATAGCTCTATCTAATATTTACTTTGTGATTTACCACCACAAATGCTTGTACGGGAACTCGCTACCCCACTGTGTACAAATTATGTAGCAACTAACCTCATGCTTCACTAATTCACACCTGTGCTGAAAACCCCTTCCACACGTGGCGCACGTGAAGGTTTTCTTCGTCGTGTGAGAAACAATATGTCGATTTAAGTTTCCCTTGGCCTTAAATTCCCTGCTGCAAAGGGTACACCGAAATCGGATTGGATTTGGGGCATGGTCCACGTTGAAATGATTCAAGGCGGCTGGCTTGGTCTTAAATGCTTTGTGACAGCCCGTATATTTGCAGGGGAAGCGTGGTCCCTGTGTCGTACTGTGAACAACGTCTACATGTCTTTTTAAATTTGCCGCCATTTTAAATTCCCTATGACAAATTGGACATCCATGTTTTTCGCGGGTGCCGTGGCTCACCTGAACGTGGACCTTCAGTACTAACTGATTTTTTAAGACTTTCTTGCAAATCTGCAAACACGTACATAGGTGGGAGTTATTACAGTGTTAATATTTCAGACTTAAAATGGAGGTCTCCCAACGTGTGCTTACAGATTTCGTTAATCGATCACAAATATAATTAGTTTGAAATATCCTAATGGAACTACCTGCCAATGAGCAAGTTTGGCGGAGATATTTGCGCAAAAAGAGGAGAAGAAGCACCCCAAGACTGGTAAATTTTTCATGTTGCAAATTTTGCTGCGCATTTTTCCTGTTTGGATGCTGCATCCTTAGATGCGTTATGAAATCCCTTAGAAACGTTAAAAATAGCTGATCAACTTTTAAAGAACCAATATTCGTTGACAACCTTATGAAATTCTTAGCGAACGTATACAAAGCCCTTAATCAATCAATCTATATTATAGGCTGGAAATGTTTGTTTGCAACGAAAGCGAAAGTAATTTTCCGTGACGGAAGTAAAAATGGAGAAAACTTCACTTCCCTCGCCAACAGGTATTTCTAGCTAATTATATAGTAAAAAATAATTGGCTGGAATTATGAGCAATCCGACTTAATTTTCGCGAAAATCAAATAATAAACTCTAGCCCGGCGAAGACGGGCTTATACACTAGTTATGAATATGATAAACAATTTCCAAATTTGGCTAAGCCTGTTATAATACCGTTTCTGAATTATATTTGCTGTTGATTTATTCTGGAATTACAGGGTGTCCCATTTATCCGTGTGAAGGTTTGAGACATCCGTGCTCACTGGCGGGTAAATAAAATTCAAACTTGAAGAAAAAATTCGGGTAGACCAACTCAAAAAGTAGTTTTCCGAATTTTTTTGCAAACTTATTTTAAAAAGTGCGACCACTGTGCTCACATAAAGTAGAGGTACTAGTGAAAGACTTTTCCAGCAGATTTTCCACCGGAATGGTTATGAAACAGAGCTTAAATTATATTCCAATGAAATAAATTTGCACTTAATTTATAAAATAGGGCATGGTAGACATATTCAAATTCAACCCAATAGTCTAACATCATTTTCACCTTCGAAAAACCACCCCCTACTAAACTGCTAAGCTGAAAATTCGGTTAGGCGATTTAACCCACTAAGAAAACACCTAATCTCAATGCATAAAATGCATTGAATAAAATGGTCCAACAGTTAAATTGCAGTAAATCAACTATGTACAGACTAATTAAAACTGATTTTGGAAATATTAGAACAAAAATAACCTATGTAGGTTTTCTCATTCAAAAACCACAAACTTTTCTGCGCTTACTTCCAAGAAAACTCAGCAGTGCGCAATTTTGGTCCTGCGGTCGTAAAATATCAAGACAACCCTGGGTGATAATCAGACATTGACCGATTGGTTTATTTCCGGTTTTTCATCGTAGAGAGGGAATTTGTATATTCGACGATTTAAGAATTTTTACTCATTTTGGAACGCTTAAAATAATGAGTGGAGGAAAAACACCGTAGAAAAGTGCCTGGAAGTATTTCTATCGGGTAAAAAGTGAAGCATTCTTCAAATTAAGAACAATGGCCGTCATATCGAGCAAGTAACGCCTTTAAAAAAGTCTCCCTTGTGGGGAATAAAAATTGTCCAACCCTTCCACGAATAAATGGGACACCCTCTGTATAATTTAGATGGATATTTGTACATTGCTCCGATTATGTTCTGCCTTTCTTTAATTCGTTTAATATATTTTTGAAAAATTGTAAATGTGGCCCGTCTATAAGGCGGGTTTATAAGCTAGTATATAAATAACAGCATGATACTAATAGGTAAAAGGCTTTCAAATACTCATGCCATCTGGCGAAAAGACACCAAAACTGTATAAAAACGGCAAAAGGGAATTTATAAAGGCAAAAAGGCATCACAACTTGCAAAAAGACAGCCTTTTTGTGCACACTGAATTTAAGTGCCAAATAAAAATTATAATTTGCCCGTATTTTTGCCCGGGAAATTTCGCGAGCGCCAAAGGCGCGAGCGGCTTAGGAAACTTTTGATTTTGTCCCCCCGGCAAAAATCATATTCCGCCGCGCCTGTGGATGCAAATATCTCCACTGAACTTGCGCATGGGCATATGGTGCCATTTGCAAGTTTCACACTAATTATACTTGTGATCGATTAACGAAATCTGTGAGCACACGTTGGGAGACCTCCATTGTGAGTACCGTTATCATTTGGCAAGACAACTTACGTCACACTTAACGGAAGAATCTGTCTCGTGACATACGAGATGAAGCTTTAAACGCCATCCCGTTTTGAAAATTTTAAAGCAGTGAGGACACTCTCCTCGCGGTAGACGTCGTATTGGTGCCATCAGTAATTAATAATTTTCTTGGAAAATGCAGACTGGTAGAATTCACTGAAACAAAGTAAAGAAATAAGATTTTGTCAGATACTATTTATTTTCCCACATGAAAAATTTAAGGGATTTCGTGCAGAAATTTGGCTGGGTTTTATGCAGAGAATTGGCTAGATTTAATGCAGACAAATTTATGCGGAAACAATTCGCGCACAAAATATGCAGAATTGTGCTAAACCTTTCTGCAGAATATATGTATGTACCTTTCAGATGCAGTTAAATGTTTTATGCAGAATCGTTTATACTTTTCCTGCATAAACCAATATTTAGGCCAATTGTGTAGAATTATGTCAAATTCGACATACGATTCCCTTAAATATTAAATTTCCTATTTAATTTGTAAATTTTCAACTTGTCAAAATTTCTGCATTCACAAGTCTCTCAAACTCTTAAGAAATATCAGTAAGGAATTTTTCACAATATCAAAAACTATCTATGATATTTCGAATTTCTTACCTGTAACTGATTTGCTCTTAAAATTTTCATAATAGCTTTATGTACACCCGCCGCTTGCTTTACAAATATAGGACACGTCTTTGAATCGAATTTACTTAACAAATATAAATGAAATTAGTTCATAATTGTATTTCAAAATTGATACCAAATTCGTCAAATAACCAAGACCACCTTGCGCAAGGTAGAACACGTTATTAGTAAATATGGATAAAAATAAGTTGGGTCAAACTTTCAGGCATAAATACCTTCAGCTGCGTAGAACACTTAAGGCTATATTTAGGGGTGACGAATTCCTAAAAAAATAAGGGTTTCCTATCTCCGTCCGGTTTATTTTACCGTGATTAAAGGGATCATCCATAAATTACGTTATCGTTTTAGTGGGAGGATGGTTTTGGTCTTCCTATCTTTCCCATGTTAAAATTCCCTATCTCATAATTGATGATCTTATGGTCGCACTTCCGCTCCAGCGGAAGTGCGACCAGTGAAGGAGAGAAAGTGAAAGAGAGAAAGTTTACAAAAGATTAAAATGAAAAAAAGTTTCTTCCGCACCCTAGCGTGCGGATGGGAGACCAGTGAAATAAAAGCTCCACCAGGAGAAAAAGTTTTCTCTCCGAGCAGCTGCTGCTACAAGGAGCTTGCTCATTAACTAATGTAAGCCATGCACGTTATTCACTACTACTAATATCAACTTAAATGCAACGTGCAATTTGCAAAGAAAATATTCACATTTGAGAGGAGATTATTTTAAAAATAAATACTTGCAAAAGTGTGTGTGTGTGTGTGTGTGTGTTTGTGTGATGAAGGGTCATACAGGATGGAGATTGATATCAATAAATTGTAACAACAGCACCAAAGATAGGATGATAAATGAAGGTTTTATTTTCTGGTAAGTGTGTAGGTTACATGAAATATATGTACATATGAAAATACGCATGTTTCATTGCAAAATATTTGCAAAATTAAGCTTGGTATGCTTAGTTCATTAATTATTTTAGATTTTAGTTATGATTTTCATTATTATTTTTTCTTTCTTTTCAAGTTACATATTCCGTCTTACTGCAACATTGTCTTACAGCGGAAAGTGAAAGTAACTCGACCAAGAGAGAAAAGTTTCTTCCACTAGTAGCTCCAACAAGGAGCTCGCCCACCAACTAATGCAAGCATGTTCTTCAGGTACAGTTCAATATAGGAGACATTTTATGTAACAAATATTAACATTTTTGAGGACATTTATTTCAGTTATTACATTAAATATTTGGATTAAGTTTGTGCGTGTGTTTTATTTATTGAATCAAGGGTCGTGCAGGAAGGATGGTGAAATTTTAACATTAGCTGCGAAGATATTTAAGTTTAAGTAAATTTTACTTAGTTTATATTGAATATAGTAAAAATTGCTCGTTTTTATTTTCCAGAGGAGCCATATCCTTTGGCTCCACGCCGAGAAGCAACAGGTGCTGTGGTGGTAATAATTTCATCAAACGTAGACTTCTTCAACGGTCCATTATGGAGTTTTATAATCAAGAACTGAGCAACACGATCCCCAAGTTCAACTTGATATGGAAGTTTCCCATGGTTGATTAGCATAACCCCCAAAGTTCCTTCAAAATCTTCATCGACCACGCCCCCCATGACGTCAATTTTATGCCGCAACGCTAACCCAGACCTTGGTTTAATCAAACCAACATGGCCCAACGGTAATTTAACTTGAATCCCAATATCCATCAATATCATTTCCCCTGCTTTAAGCAACGCTCCGGATTGACAGTACAAATCATAACCAGCAGATTGAGGGTGCAACTTTGTTGGAAATTTACTTTCAAAGGTCTTCCTAATAAAGTGGACCGTTCTATAGTCATCTAGAAGGTTAATATTTATACATTTTTTATTTAAACTTCAATTATTAGTCAAACTATTATAATTATTGACTTATTTTTATATATTTGAAATATGTAGGAAATCAATTACTACATTCAATCCATATAATGAGGAGATACCATCAAAACGGGATACCAAAAATTGTCAGGTAAAAGAAAGCTTTCTTTGGCTTGGAAAATCGAAGTCATAGCTACGTTACATGATTTAACAAATTTTAATTTTCTTTGGAGTGTTATAGGCAAGAAGTGAAAAAACTGTGTATGTCCCATTATATAATCGTTATTTGAAATAATTATAAGATCTTCCGAATTTTTATAGACGCCCTGATTAGAATCTACTTCCTCTGACCAACCAACTTGTTCAGCTTAAGAGAGGTAAAGAAAAAATAGATTTCAGTTTAATTTTGAAAGGATTTATGGGATCCAGGTAGTATAATCAGGGTCTGTGTCAATCTTTGTTTGCAGGGTATCGCAAGCTGCAACCAACGATTGAAAATATTTAAACGACAGGTTTGCCCCTGTGGTTTGATTCTTTCTGATGCAGACATAAGCCTGCCCATTTTTTCTCCAAGTTTGGAGTTTTAGCCAAAACCCCTGACCTCGCTGGCCCTCCCAATGGACAATATTTTGTCCACTAGGATCGTCACTCCTTTCCCCTTCGGGAGCAAAATTAAGCGAAATAGGACCTTTGTAAGATGATGAAGGCACATATGCTTCATATGCTCCGGAGCTGATGATGATGAGCTTGCAGGAGGAATCGTAGTACGAGCAACAGGAACAAGCGCCGTTGAAGGAACAGGAACAGCAGAAGGCGGAACACTCTTGACTCGACCTCTCTTCTCCGCTGGGGACTTTTCTGCAATTAATAGAAATAAAAATTTAAAGCTTATGATTACAACAAATTTCCCTATTAACATTTTAAAATAATTATTGACATCTTACCCTTTTCAGTCATCTTCCTCTTGTTAGCGGCGGCAGCAGCCTTGACTGTCTTCTCTTCAGGACCAGTGTAGAACAGGCTTAACGGGTTTCGACGAGCGGCATCTAGCTCCTTCTTGGAAGCAGCGTCAACCTTCTTCGCATCAGCTGCATTCTCCCTTGCTTCCCGTCGTCGTTTCTGCTCCGTATATAAATCAACTTTTTTCAGTTTAACAACTGGCTCCAGTTTCTTTGATTTGGTTGCAGGTTCTTTGCGCTTTGACTTAGGCACTGCATACAAATCATCCACGAGGTTCAGCCCTCATAGTAGAAACAATTTACAATTAAATTAAAAATGAACAATAAGTATATGACCTAATAAATCAAAATAAAATATCTTACGCTTTTGCGAATGTTCATTTGCAGGAACAAAATCAGGATCCTCCTCTGGCTCAGACGGAGAATCCTCGTCCTCTTCGTCTTCATCCTCCTCCTCATCAGTGAAAGGTCCGCTTGGTTCCTCCTCATCATCGTCTACGACGAATCCAGCGTCAAAGACTTCAGGTTGTCGGCGGTGAGAAAGAAGAAAAGCTCGTGCGTCCACAGACTCTCGACTTCCTGGCTTAGCCTCCTCTAAGATTTTTCGTGCTCTTGCCACTGCGTTTATCCCTGCTAAGATTTACGTAAATATTGGAATTTATTTAAGTTTATATTTTATCAACATTTGAAAGTTTTCCTAAAGCTTGTTTAGTTTCTTAAAATTATTTTATTTGTGTTTTAGGAAAACTTACCCTGAGACATTTTGGAGTTTTAAAGTTTTTATTTCTTCTTTGGAAATCCTTTGCACGTAATGTTGAAACATTGACTAACTTGCTCATTACTTTGCCAATTGTTTTTATAGTCTTAGTAATTTACAAAAAAAAAATTCCAAAATAAGTACATACCGTAAAAATGTAATAACTCCCTAGGGGTTACTAATTCAATTATTTACAAAATACGGTTAATAGTGGTAAGTGGTAATTAATATTTTTTACAGTATTGGAGTTGAAGTGATGGTATGTTTTATTATATGTAAACACATTCCTGGTATTAAGATAATGACGTCACGCCGAGATATAAAAAAGATGTTGTCATACATATTTTCTCACAAGCATTTTTAGAATACACACTTCTTGACTTTGATTTTGGAAATTTTTGAAAGTTATTTTTTATTTATTTACTATTTTTAAATTTCCAAGTTTAAATTTATACAATTAATTCTCAAAATTTGTTTTTTTTCTCAGTGCTTAGTGTATGAGTACTTCATTCGGAGCAACCTAATAATAGAGAGAGATTTACATCACAAAGAAAATGGTGAGATCACTTAGACAAGAATGTGTATAAACTGTTGATAGTTACTGAGATTGTTGTTTTATTTTGGCAGGCTCCTCGTATTAAGACGACAACATTCCAATGCTTGAAATGTTTTAGGAGATTCTTAAATCGTCAGCATTTTGCGTCACATTTACTAAGGCACCGAGATGAAAACAAGAGAAAATTGTGTCAATATTGTACCATGTCATTCAAGTCGTCTAAATTGTTAGAAGTACATATGAATACTTATCATAGATGTGAATATTGTGACTTCTGAGCCAACATTTTTGATCTTATAGAGCACAATGAAGCTCATGAAAGAGGAGTTATAAAATCCATGAAATTTGATCAAAGAGGAAGAGGGCTACGACTGAATGCTTTCCCTTTCTCTGAAATTGAAGCCTTTAAAGGCTTTATGAAAACCTACAGATTTAGAAATACACATGAGGATAATAATATTATTTCTGTTAGAGATTTTTTTAATAGATTTAAGTTTAAAATTAATCAGATTCTATTTCACAATGTTTCAATTTATAATAGCATTAAGTTTCAAATAACGCTTTTGTGTAAATTTAAACGTATGCATCCAAGCGTGGATGAAGAAGAGGTAGAATTCATGGAAACAACAGAACAATATTTTAATTCTTCTCTTAAAATTATCCTCAGTCCCCTCTACATTAGTAGAATCTTTTGTGACATGGTTAATGAAATCGATAATAATGTGGAAATCTTCGAACAAAATGGCAGTGGTTGGATATTAGATGAAGTGAAAGGCTGTGATATACGAACAGCTCAGTTTGAAATATTAAAGGGTGGATGTTCGTGCATCATTCCCAGCCATCTGAAAAATAAGAATGCCATTGTGAATCCCGATAATAAGGAAAATGATTGCTTTGTTTCAGCTTTTCTGATCTGCATGCACGGAGATTCAGTAGATAACAGGCATCGTGGAAGAATATCTCAATATGAAAAATTTAAAACTCACTACGATTTCTCTTCGTTAAAGTTTCCAACATCGGATGCTTTTAAGCAACATGGGCATTACATGTCTATCCTGAATTTTTCTCGCCTAATCAACAGACAGGGACATCATCGAAAATTTGTTTGCTACAATTGTTTGAATACTTTCGGAGATGAAAAGCGTCTTGATTCACATCAGCAGTTGTGTTTTGAGTTTAAAACTCAAAAGGTTTCTGTTCCTTCAGTCGTTGATGGAAAAATTCCATTCTGCTCTTTTGAGAGTAAAAAACTTAGTAATAAACTAAAGTGTAACTTTGTGATGTATGGAGATTTTGAAGCAATGCTCACAGACGATAATACCAGTACGACCTCAATAGATAAACACAAAATTTCAGGATATAATCTTGCAGTAATTGGCCCAAATAAGAAACTGGTTCATATATCGAAATATCGTGGTCCAAATAGCATTGACAAATTTATAGATGAAGTGAATCTACAAGCTAGCTTTTGCATACAAAGGAACAAAATCCATATCGCTATGAAACAACTTTCTCTAGAGGAAGAATATGATTTTTCTATGGCAGATTCCTGCCACATTTGTGAGCATGATTTTGATCACCAATCTATAAAAGTTCGAGATCATGATCACAATACTGGATTATTTAGAGGAGCTGCTCATAGAGAATGTAATGCTTCGTATATTCAAAAAGTCAAAATCCCTGTACTTATGCATAGTTTTAGAAATTATGACTCTCACCTGCTGTTAAGTTCAGCAACGAAATTTGGTTCTGGGAATACGTTCGTTATCTCTCAAAACTCTGAAAAATTTATAGGCATTATTTGTGATAAGTTCATGTTCATAGATTCTTTCATGCATCTGCCCAAATCTTTAGATACTCTTGTAACAAACCTTCATGCAAAACCCGAAGGCTTTGATGACAAGTTTGGTATAATGATACAACATTTTTCAAAAGAACGGGCTGTAAAACTCTCAAGGAAAGGTGTCTATCCATATTCTTATTTCAGTTCTTGGGATAAATTTAAGGAAACCAAATTTCCCGATATTTCAGAGTTTTATAACACCCTCACTTGTGAAGGGATTTCACAAGAGGATTATGATTTTGGTAAGTCAGTGTTTGAAACCGAATGCACTGACCTGGGTTCGTACCACGACATATATTTAACAACAGATGTACTTCTGTTGGCATGCGTTTTTGAAAGCTACAGGGATATGGCAATTTCTAACTTTAAGCTTGACCCTTGTCACTATTTTAGTCTCCCAGGCTTCAGCTGGGATGCTGCTCTTCTGAGTACAAAAGTTAAGCTAGAACTTGTTACTGATCAAGACATGTACAATACTATAGAGTCTGGCATTAGAGGAGGAGTATCTATGATATCTCATAGATATTCTGTAGCTTACAACAAGTATATGGAAGATTATGAAGAAGGAGTCAAGGAAGACTCTTTTCTTCTTTATATTGATAAAAACAACTTGTACGGTGAGGCGCTTCAGCAGCCTTTGCCTGTTTCTGATTTTCAATGAGAAAGTCAAGAGTTCATTGATAATTTAAGTATAGATGATATTTTGGCATGGGGTGATGAGGATGAAATCGGTAGAATTTTGGTTGTCAATTTAGAATATCCCTGTGAGCTCCACCTGTTGAGCGAGCACAACGAATATTCACTAGCTCCGGAGAAAATTACAATTTCCATGAATCAACTCTCGAAGCATCAGCGGGAGCTTTTAACTTCCTATAACATTAAATATTCAGAAAAGCAGAAAAAATTAGTTCCTCATTTAGGATCTAGAAAAATGTATCCAGTGCATTATAGAAGTCTCAAATATTATTTGGAGAAGGGAATGGTATTAACAAAGATTCATAAGATAATTAAATTTGTTCAAAGGCCCTGGCTTAAAGATTTTGTAAACCTTTGTTGTGATTTACGACGAAAAGCTACAAACAAATCTGAGCAAGACTTTTTCAATCTAATAGTTAACGCAATTTTTGGACGTAGCATGATGAATGTTAGGAATCAGCAATATGTATATATAGTTAACAGCAAAATATTATTCCAGGCTTTCGAACTTCAGAAAATTTGAGATTCTTTCTCCAAACTTGGTACTTGTTTTCATGAGTAAACCTAGTATTGTATTGGATAAGCCAATATATACAGCGTTTTCGGTTTTAGATCTCAGCAAGTTGTTTATGCAGGTTTGGCATTATGACAGGATCAAAAAATGGTATGGAATTAAAGCCAGGTTCCTTTTTACAGATACGGACAGCTTAGCCTATCAAATTAAAACCGCTGATCTTTATGCTGATTTAAGACTGGTGAAAAATGATTTTGACTTTAGTGATTTTGACCACACTCATCCACTTTATTCTACAGAAAATAAAAAAGTGATTGGTAAAATGAAGGACGAGAGTAACGGAAAAATCATGTATAGTTTTGTGGGTGTTTCTCCAAAAATGTATTCCTTTGCAGGCAAGAATATCCATAAGATTGCTATGAAAGGAGTCAAACAATCTTTAGTACGAAAACATGTAACTCATAAAGCTTTTATGGAGACTTTGTTTGAGCAAACAAAATATATGTGCAGAATGAATTTGATTCGTTCAAAGAATCATAAACTAACAACTGCAAATTATACAAAAGTAGCTTTGCATAGTTTTGATTCGAAACGTTTTATTTTACCCGATGGAATTAGTACACTTGCTCACAATCATTTTTTGATTCCTACGTACAACAAGTAAAATATTTAAAATTAACAAATTAATTATTGTACAGTTTAAACATAACAATAAAATGATTACAATTACAAATATATAAATAATAAATAAAATATGTACAGTTTAAGGTTTGAAAACTTTTGTTATTCCCTTAATTTGGCATCTACAAATAGGACATAGGTCTTGGGTGGTAGAGCATGGAAAGCAGGAGCAAATGTGACAACATGGAGTGAACATGTAATTAGGTTCTTCGAGTTTACACACCGAACACAGAAATGTTTCCATCAGGCTATGAAGGAGTGTAAGAGTAGCATTTTCTTGATTTTCACCATTCTCATCCTTTGACGAATTTATTTGTTTGCATAGACTCTGTAATAAAAAAATAATAAAACAATAAAATAATTATTTTGATAAAACTGAAAATATATAAAAGCATTACAAAATTACATTATATTTTTGGTAAGTATAACTTTGGTCTAAATCCTTCGATAAAATAGTCTGCAATTTAGGTTTGTGCAAAGAGAGGAATGGACAGTCACTTGAATGAATAGAGTGTTCAATCCAGGGATCATCACTTGGCAGCCAATTATGGATTATTATTCCACAATAATAACAAGAAAGCCGATCTCCATATCCAGTAGAGTAAAATCCTGCTTCACTAAAATTTTTGGGATTTTGCTTTTCCGGTCCAGTTTTTGAATGTTGCTAAACGATCACTATTTAGACACATATCTTTGTTATCAATATCGTATGGTTTATAGACCAGAGTTGGAAAAGTTTCATCTTGGAGAACCATGTTTAGTATTTAAAATAAATACGGAAAACCTTATCTGATTAGAACTGAATCGCATGAGCTCTGACACTACAATGAACATATCACTAATATGTCGTACTACTTTAGCATTGTTTATTAAATTATTAAAACAATTTTTTTACACAAACCAGACCTCAAAGTTAAGAAGGAATTTTTTTTGTTGTTGTTGTTATTCAAAAACGAATACCTCAGTCAAAAGCCATTCTATCATGTGGGAAACCATATGAAGTCTTCTGTCTTGATGTAACGTCCTTAGTGTTGCGAGGTCTGTGGGGAATTCCCGTTGGAGTACGATATGGGTCAAAGGTTTTATTCAGAGCATCATTTTGGTTTAACGGTTCCCATGCACTGAAGCTCGACAGCTTATGAGCACTGAGCGTAGCTGTTTGTTTTAGAGGAATAGAATCTAAGGTACCCATAAGATCATTTCTCACTACAGTTGAAAATAGAGCGGCAGGGACATTTAACATTTTACACACTCTCAGGAATCTGTTGATTCCGTTTGGGGATGTGGTCCATTTCAAATCTCTAATGGAGTAACTCATTAAATCCGAAATGTTAGAGTCAGGTTCAAACTCACTTCCCCAGAAAGTTACTCGTCCTGATTTATCCCATTTTATCATTTCAGGATGACACTTTAAAAACCCGAGCAAATTGTGAGCTTTATTCATTTGAGTGGTAGGAAATTCTTTCAGCATTTTTATATCTGATTCAGATAACGTGAATTTTTCAGGGGAACCAACTGGAGTAGACTCTGTGCTAGAAGGAGTTACAGGTGGAGGAGTTTCATAAGTGGAGATAGTATTACTTTTTCATATGGATGATTTATCTTCACCAGAAACCATTCTAACGGAAATAGGTTTATCTAAAATGTCTTTCAACTGATTATTTACACGTTTCATTAAACTACTGTACAATTGGACTTTAATATCCTCCGGAATTAAGGATCCCAAAACTGATGTAGCTTCCTGATCCTTGTCCGTAAAAAAGTGAGTTTTAGCATGCTCCATTGTGTTTGTCTTTTTTAGAAGCTGGGAATACTCGTCTTCACTAACAACTATCATTTTTTTCGACATTTTAATATTTAGTTTTTAAAACCCTAAGTGTGAACTAATCGCTCGTCCTGCTATTGCACCCAGAGCTGAAAGCACGGGTGTTATTAAGAATGGAAGAAAACCTCCTTTCTGTACTAAATGTTCCTTCTTGCTTTTATGTGATTTTGACTTTTTTGATAATTCCCTGATTTGATCTTTGTGTTTGTGTAATTTCTTTCTTGTTTCCTCGTCTACTTGAAAACGACCTTCTAATATATTTACAGCAATTTCACTTAGTGCTCGTATCTCGTCCGGGGATGCTTCCTGAATGATCTTCTTCCTCTTCAACCCCCTGCATGTCACAAGTTTCTTCAGAAACGAGAGGTTCCGATTTAGGCAGTGACTCATTTCTCATGTAGCTTGATAAATCATTGAGAATTTTTAATGCTTTAGCATGTGAGCATTGCGCGTTGTCAATATGGAATGAGAGCGGACATTCAATAGAATCTTGTATAGGCAGATTTTCAGAACAGTCCTCTGTATTTTTAACCAATAAATCCTCTGTGTTAATAACAGTCCAGTTAAATCCCAAATTCTTCAAAACGTTTGCCTTTTGTAGTCCTTTAGTGTATACTGTAGCATCATTTAAAGTAGACAAATACGCCAGAACACTATTAAACTTGTCCCGCCCAGCAAACCAGTAAATTTTATGAAGTTTATTTTCACAATACTTCACTATACGCTTTTCATGTACAGTAAGAGAGTTGAAATGACAGGGGGGTTTAATAAAGAAATGTTTCTGAAAAAAAGTGGGGTCTTCCGTACACTTAATATTACAAATTGTTATTTCTTTAAACACAAATCCTCTTGGAAGTAAAAATACCTCAAATTCAATAACGTACTTCATTTTGGTATGTACACGTATTTTGGCTCGTCTGAAAAAATTCCCTGGAGCACTCTGGTTCTGTCGTTACACTAAGGGTATAGATTGAGGAATAAGTACGAGTATGGTTGCTCAGTTGCTCTTTTATAGGCATCAGATAGAAAATTCGTATTATGTGGAAAAACTGTTTACCTAAATATTGTATTTGAGATGCGAACGTAGGAGACCTCATAATTACCATATAATGACAATTTAGTCGTATATCGCGTCCGAATTTTCCTTGAGGATATAGATTTTGTGTTAATAGAATTACTGATACTGAATTGTGATGAATTCCTCTTGTGAATAACGTTTGAATTTTTTCATTCGTGAGCACATCCTTCATTTGATCATCAATTATTAGCAAAGTTGGGTGTTTGTTACTAAATTCAGACATATCAAAATCCAATCCTTGTCTAAATTCAATCCGATTATTATGTTTAGCCATATCATCATAAGCAGGTTGATTTTCTGTGTAAGAAACAATTATCCGGCTTGGGCAAGGCTCAATTAATTGTGCATCATGAGTCAGTAATTTTTTAACAAACTCTGACTTTCCTGATTGAGAAACTCCGGAAATAATTAACGAGAAGGGATGTAAAAGCTTTAGAGAATGACCTTCAATTTCCATTCTGCTGTTTTCGAAAATGCAACGTTACTATGCACTGTCCTTTTTCAAACTGAAGTTCATCGCCAAATTCGTCACATAGAAGAATTTCAATTGTGTCAAATTCAAGTTGACTTAGTGGTAAATAATAAGGACGAAATTCGTGAGTCACGGCTTCATTTTTCTTTGAACTTACATTAACCATTCTTAGTAGGGGACAAAGACAGTCTCCTACAATTTGTCTTTTAATTATATCACTATATATAAAAATATGATATATTCCCCTAGATAGGTTGGGGGTGTTCGTTGCTATCCTACTAACGTCAAATCGACACGTATCGTCAAGGGTATATAAGTCAAACCCCAACATGTTAGCTAAACACACATTTATATAGAATGTTCCACAACCCTTTAAAAAATGTACTCTATTTGTTTCAGGGTTATATGCAAAACTTGCATAAACTTCGTCATTAAGTACTAAGCAGAGATTGATTTCTTCAACAAGTGACTGTACATGTTGGTATTGTTTATTTTTAACCATGCGATGACCAATATTGTTTTCTGGATCATTTGGAAATATTATTTTTCTTGCGTCATCTTGCTGAAACGTTTTCAAAGAATTTACGTAAGTAAACTCTGTAATAGCTACTTCATATTCGTTAGATATAAAATTCAAACGTTTTGGTAGTTTAGTTTTATATAACGACATCCTGTTATTAGGATAGTACCGTGGGCTAACATTAGAAGGTAGGTGTAGGTACAATGACATGATTTTTCGTTTATAAGTAAAGGGTACACCGAACTTTTCTTTACTTCCATTATTCAACTGCTTAGCGTACGAAGCTTCATACAGTTTTTATCCTTTTTCCAGGGCACTACTAATAGTCTAAAAAATGAAGCATGTTCATGTATTTCACCACGAACACTATCACTGTGTTAGAGAATCAAATTGGTAAAGGCATACCCGTGTTTAGAGGTTATAGACAGAAAGGAGGTGGTCTAGGAAGTATTCTGGGATTTATCGGTCGATATGGATTACCGCTCATTACCAAATATATTCTACCTCATGCAGCGCCTGCAATTATGAGTACAGTATCTGATATTACAAATGGTCAATCAATTAAAACAGCCCTAAAATCCAATGCTATTAAAATGGCTAAAAAGGTTGGAAAATCTATTCTTAAACCCCAAGCAGGAGCTGGATTAGGTTCTAGAAAACGAAAAGCTTTACTAGGTGCAACGTCAGAAGAGTGTAAGGTGTTGCACGAATCACATCACTCGTCCAACCCAAAGAAATCTAAAGCTTCATCCGTAAAATCGGGCAACAAGAGAAAAACACCAACTGCACCTAAGAAAAGAAGATCAATTTTTAGTAAACGGGATATATTTGGATAATGGCATTAATTAACGAATTCTCTCAACCGTCTATTAGGGGACAAGTAGAGTTATTTGGTCTTCCACCTACAGACACAACGGTTGAATCCAGTTTCTACGCAGAATATAAACCTGTTGTAAATATACAAGATAACGATGCAAAAATTGATTTTCGAATTACTGGAAATGCATCGCAATATCTTGACTTGTTTGACCATTTCTGTTATCTTAGAGTAAAAGTTGTTGCATCGGATGGAAAAGATTTACCAGCAGCAGCAGAGGTTAGTACTTCTAACTTATTTATGCATTCCCTGTTTTCGCAATGTGATGTTAGTATAAATAATCAACTTGTTTCAACCAGCAATAACTGTTACATGTACAAAGCTTATTTAGAAACAGTTTTGACATACGGAACTGATTACATAAATTCCCAAGCGACTTGTCCACTATTCTACAAAGACACTGATAATGGATCGCTGAAAGATACTAACACAGGCTACAAAAAAAGAAAGCAATGGATTCAAGCCTCGAAACCGGTGGAATTAATTGATAAATTAAAATTTGACCTTGCTTATCAACATCGATATATTTTGAATGACACAACAGTTACCATTAGCCTAGCCAGAGCTGTTGAAACGTTTTCCCTTTTGTGCGGGGCACTTGCTTCAGGTAGTCCCGCGATTAATCCCAAAGTAAAATTCCTTGATGCGAGTCTATTTGTTAGAAAACATGTTTTATATCCTAGTATTGTCTTGTCTCACCAAAAGTTACTTGAAGGAGGGCATAGTGCTCGATACCCCTTCAAAAAATCAGAAAATTTTTTTCAATTCCAAAATCGTCACAATCCTTTATCGAAGAAAATGTTTTCCTTGGTACAATCCCAACTAGAATTGTCATCTGTCTAATTCCGAGTAAGGGTTTTGTTGGGGACTATGACGTTAATCCTTATGTATTCCCCCATTACAATCTTAATTATATATCATTAAGTGTGAACAATGTTCCCTATCCTATTAAAGGTTTACAACTTGATTTTGACAGTGATATTAAGTTATTACCATATTATTTACTGTATTGTTCTCTTGGAACAGCAGGACAAGATCAAGGTTTGACTTTTGACAGAGAAGAATTTTGTAGTGGTCAGACATTTTTGGGATTTGACATTAATCAGTCTACTGGGTCAGATTCTGCACTACAGTTGGAAAAAAACGGATGTGTAAGAATCGAATTAAAATTTGCTAAGGCACTGCCTGAAGCGGTAAATTGTTTAGTTTATTCTGAACATTTTAAAATCTTGGAGATTGACAGATTTAGACAAATTTCTGTACAATAATGAATTCTTTACAACTTCGATATGCCTTAATCAACTCTATGAACCTTTTCATAGCTGTTTGTGCCAAAGATCAGTTAGATAGTATTAATTCAAAAACGTTTGCAATTATTAGTAATAACCAATCTTCAAACGAGGCAGGGATGCACTGGTTAGCTTTCTACAAAGAAACTGAATCGTCTGTTCTAGAATTTTTTGATAGCTTTGGAATGCCTTTAGGTTTTTATGGAAAAGAATTTGAAGATTTTGCATTAAGAAACGAGAAAAAGGTTAGACAGTCATCATCTCAATTTCAGTCAAATTCCAGCAATCTGTGTGGAGGGTATTGCTTATACTTCTTAATTAATCGAAACCGTGGCTTGTCCTACGATAAAATTTTAAATAAATTCAACTCAGAAAATACTCTTGTGAATGATAAAATAGTATCAAACTTTGTAAAAACAAACCTTTACTTTCCAAAATGTTCCAAATGTGGAATCGAATGTAGCGGAAAATGTGCAAATAGTCTCAGCGATATTTGTATTCAGAAAAATAGACCTTGCGTTCGGATATTTCAAACAATTCAATCATGAAAACAGACAAACTTTTGAAAGAAATCTACTTTAATCCAAAACATATTGGAAGTTTTGGTGGACCACATCGGTTATCTGCAGCAACGGGAGTATCCCTGAAGGATGCTGTAACTTTTCTACAGCATTATGAAACATATACAACAAACAAATCTGTGAAGCATAAATTTTTTAGACGTAAAATGACTTCCCACGAAGTTGATTATTGTTGGCAAGCTGATTTAATAGATATATCAAAATATTCAAGATTAAACAAGGGAACAAAATATTTATTAACAGTAATAGATACTCTAAGTAGATTTGCTTTTGTTAAACCTCTAAGAAAAAAAGATGGAAAATCAGTAACAGAGTCTTTCAAGGAATTAATCCTAAACTCAAATCGGAAACCAAAATTCATACAAACAGACGAAGGAAAAGAATTTTTTAACAAACAATTTTATAATTTATTAAAGGAACAAGACATAAAATTATTTCATAACCATTCGCCACTTAAAGTAGCAATGGTCGAAAGGTTTAATAGAACTCTGATGACGAGATTACAAAAAGTTTTCACATATAGAAAAACAAATGTGTATTATGATATTTTACAAGAAGTAGTAGATTCATATAATGAGAGCAAACACAGAATTATTGAATGTTCGCCTAGGTCTGTCAACAAGTATAATCAGATGGATGTTTGGTTTCAGAGTAATAAAGATGTTCTTATGATGAAGCATCAAAAACCGAAATTAAAATCAGGAGATTTTGTTAGAATTAAAATAAATAAAGCGCTTTTCAGGAAAGGCTATTCCCCTACTTTTACAGACAAGATTTACAAAATTAGCGAAGCTCATAACAGCAAATTCATATTCCATAATGGATAATTCAGGGGAAAAAGTGTTAGGAATTTTCTATCCTCAAGAACTATCTAAAGTGTTAACCTAAGCTATTTACATGCAAAATTATTTGAAAAATGAAAGCGGTCCCCATTTCCGCTGGTGCGGAAATGGGGACCGAGATTCATCACATAATGTTTACTTTGGGTGGGTGGTACTAAAATAGAGAATTTCTGATGACGTAACATATGGATGGCCCCAATAGTTCTGCCCTCGCCACCAATATCGTCATATCTTGACCCAAACCGATTTTTGCAAGTATTTATGTATATAAATTACTCCACTTTCTTCTGATAACTATACCTACATACATACATTTATGACACTACCGCCATGGCAATAAATTTGTAACAACAGGTAGTCAATTTATTACCATTTCTTGGTAATATTTTCCGTGTGCGGTCACTTAGCATAATCTCTTTCCCAAAATGGTTTCCATAACGGCTACTCATTTTGCAGACATTTGGAGATCTTGAAGATGTCTTTAAGACGTGTAAATCGTCATTAGCCGACTGGGTATTACATCGTTCTCTGTATGTAGTAGGATTTCATTAGTAATTAACACATGTATTTTCTCCATGCACGATGTTATAACTTATTATTAATAAAAAATGCTAACATCAGTCAGAAAATCTCTTGCACAATAGTTTTTTTCGTGTTTTTTTTGCAGTGTAGATAAGCACACGGCGTAAGAGTATGTATATCCAGTAGAAACAAATTTAAACAACTCAGCGACAAAAGACCAGATATGTGGATGTATAATCTATTAATTTATGCGGCATGGTATGGTACGCATGAAGAAGGTTAAGTGGGGGATATTTTATATTCAATCTGAATACTTACCTAACACTGATTCATTTGTTATTTAAGGCTGCTTACATTCAAACGAAGTGGCCGCAGAAGCACAGAGGCCCAGTGTCCCCTAGGGTTGTCTGTGAGACGAGAGGGACCTCCTCTCATCTCGTTTCCCTAGTATAGCTAAAATGAGTTACTGAAGGTTGAAACTCATTAGATCAGATGAGTTGAGACACGTTAGAATTTATGGGCCTCAAACACGTCTCGTCTCATCTGAGACCTCTCAGATGAGCTATGTAACTTAACGGCAATCTCATCTCATCCCATCGTCAACACTAGTGTAAACTGGTTAATAGCCATGCAGGGTAAAATTTTTTAGGGACTTTATATAGAGAATTTGCTGGATTTTATGTAGAAAAATTTATACCGAAACAATTTGTGTACAAAATATGCAGAATTATGCATAATTGTGCCAAATCTTTCTACAGAATTTACCTGTCAGAAGTTTTATGCAAAATAGTTCATACTTTTTCTGCACAAACCATTGTTCCGGCCACTTGTGTAGAATTATGTCAAATTCGACATACGATTTTCACCCGGGATCCCATATCTTCGAATGGTAATGTTTCAAGATATCCCCACAGCTTCCGCCGGCACTGGCCAACATAAAGCTGCGATGCTGGAAATTATTGGGTATTTAATATGCTAGCGAAGCTTGTGTATTCCATGATAAAATGTGTGCCAATATACATACAATCAGTTTTCCGTATAGTACAAAAGCGATCGGTGTAAGGATTAGTGAAGGAGAAAATATTTATTGCATGGAAATATTTATTTATCAATGAATGAATGAATAAATTTATTAATCGTTTTTTGGGGCCACTCGGGCCCATAAAGGAGCGTATATGTAATGGGGTACAAGTATATACATAATAACTAATAATAAGAATGCTTAATTACTAGGTATAAAAATGTTCACAGTAGGAGTTCCAATTTTTAATTATTACGTTTTATTTACTGCGTGGAGTGTATGGGAGAGGGTTAGTTTTGGAGAAGAAAGGGGAGTGCATGCTTGAATGGTAAAATACATTAATAAATTAACTAATTGCGGATAATCAGGAAAATATTTATTTATCGAGGACGTCACATCCATTGGGATGGGTGGATGGATAGACGTTATTTTTTTGCCCTCCACCAAAAGGTTCAACATTATTGATATTTCAAGGTAAATAATACATTCTTTCAGAAACACGTGAAAACATAGTGTTGGCAAAAATGCGAGTAAAACGTAAAATCAAATTTATAATTGAAGAATATTGTGAAAACCGAGAACTGAGAGGTTTTGGTAATGATAGTGGAGGGTAGACTTACAGATTTTAAAAACAAGAAATACTGATTGGAAAAAAAATTAGTTTACAAGTTTGGGAACAAGCCTGATTAATTAAGACGAGGAAGGCAACCTGGCATTCTGCCTGGAGAATGAAATTGGTACGTGGCAAAGTAAATTTAGATATTTAAGGTAAATTTCAAGCATATCTGAAGTACATTTCATTTAAACGTATATATTTTTGTGTAAAAAATTAATACATATCTAGTAATAAATCCCGATTATTTTCTTGATAACGTATGTATTTATATCTACTTACTTTTTAAGTTCCTGATAATTTGTACGCACATATAATTACAGATAAAAAGTAGAGGAGAAAATTAGGGCGCCTTTCACCAACTTATTCTGTACAAATTTCCATTCACAGATCACATCTTATAAACCCTTTTAAAGGTAAGTAAATTTCTGAATTTGCTCATCTATAGAAAAAAGTTTATATGCATCGACAAGAAAAATAGTTTGTAATTTTTATGTCAAGTTCCATCAAAGGAGAAAAGTTGCCTCACATTTATTTTGTGTTCCTTTATAGATTTCACAACGTCGACGTGGTGGGCGGTAGTTTGACTTTTGCGTGGGGGGAGGGAGGCGGTATACTGAAAAAAATCCTGAGGAACATAAGGCGAATAAATTACAGTCATGAAGGTTTAAGTTTAATTGGCAATTTTAATCTATATTATACGCAGGAAATGTCTGTCCGGGACGGAAGTGAAAGTAAAGAAAATCAAGGTTCGAATGGCGCGAAAGTTCGAAATAAATTATATTTAAAACATTAAATGTCTTATGGTAGTTATCTTCTGTGGTCGTCTGACGGCGGTTATCTGGGAGTGGTTATACATGCCTGGATAACCATTAGACATTTAATGTTTCGAATTTTATTTAATTCGGGCTATTCCCCCATTCGCTCTTGGCTTCCTTTACTTTCACTGATTAGGCGGGACATATCTTTTCACTTTCGTTACCGATAAATATTTGTAGTCAAAAATTTTGATAATCCGTCCAGGCTATTATGGTCGTTTTAAAATTTAAAACATTCCAATTTGGCGAATGTATTGCCACACCTTGGTGCCAAATGTGAATTTTACACAGAAATATTAACCAATCTTTCATCAGTCGTCCTAACAGATACGGAATAAACATGGTGGATACGAAGATAACGACGGGCACCATGGAGGCTTCCCTTTTAAGTCTAATATTTAAAGTATAAAAGACGATTTAAAATCACATATTTGCGCCACAAATTGATTTTAGTTGCCAGGCAACACTACGATAAACAAGGATTTAACTTCAAGCAAAATTTTCAACATCTACATACATATCCTTAGTTGGCATTGGCAGGAATCATATCAAATTTGTAAGTGAGTGTGAATTGTCGTACATATTTATGCCTTATCCCCAATCATGATTACAAAAATAACACAAATACTATTAATCTATTTAATTCTCTTTGCATTAGTCGTTCCTCTATCACGCAGTGTTTGGACCGTACCCAATATGTTCCAAAACTGTCACATAATTTTTCTAACTTATCAGTTTGACCTTTCTTCACTAGATATACATCACAATATACCATATTTCCATGAATTACTCTGTTCAAATCCTTACTCGCCTATTGTTCATAATTCGTTTGAACGTAACGACTCCTACATGGATATTATAGGCAACCACAGATCAATCCATGGACCACACTCAGCTTCAAGGCGAGTACCATTGATATTCCTTAATATTGGAAGTACAGAAAAACTAACAAATACAGAAATCTTCTCCATTTTCTTTGACATGCAATACTCGACCATGTTGTATTTAAATCCCTCGTACATCTTCCTCCATACGCATCAACCTACAAATCCATCGAATTACGATTCATACCATACCTGTCACGGAATTGCGAGTCTATTTTTATTCAGTTACAATCAACCAGGCAAAATATATATCCCTTGTATAACTTGTGAGTGGGAACAAATAATGGAAATTAGCAAGATGGATTACCCTCTTAGAAAAATTAAGTCAATCTGGTTTTCCTTAAATAACAATCTTCACAAAAATATGGTGGCTGTTCCTCTCCTTTGGATTTACCAGTATAGCCAATGCGATATGACAAATTTTCAGCCCAAAATGACAACTGATTTTGATATTTGTGCAATTTCTTCGCTTTCTGTGAAGCATAACTTCACCCTGGTGGACATATCTCTGCATCAGTCTGGTTATTACTATGATTTTCATTCTAACGCTATTCTTCACCAGACATTAATTGATTTGATAGTGCGAGACTTCTACTCCAGTTACCAAATGGGATGGTCAAATATACAATTTATATTTGTTGCCCCGTTTCCCACTGCTCTAACTGGGATACAGGGATTGCTGTCGCCTTTCAATACAACGGTTTGGGCAATTTTAATAATTGCTTGTGTAATTATTACGTTAATTATTGTAGTTACTGACACTGGGAGACATAAAGTTTTCAGGTTCATCATTGATTTTTTAAATATCGCCTCGATTCTAATGGGACAGGTGAATGGAGACAGTTTTTTAATGTTCCACAATAAGAAATGGGTTGCAGTACCCATACTCACGGTCTGGTTTTTGGGTGGACGCTACCTAACTATGGATAATTTATATGTAGGATCAATTTACTCTTTTTAAGTGCAGTAATGCCACCCATACTTCCCGATAAATTTACAACTCTTGTTGATTCAGATATTCCAATTATTACATTATCCAGCGCCTATCAATCTGGACTGTCCATATTAAAAACTATTCGCATACCAGAATACATCGAGTTATACAAGGAAAAGGAAAGTTTCGTCAAGCTATTGGAAAAACTGAATTCCAGAGTTGTCTCCTTCGAAGGAATTAGTTATTTTGACGTGATGGCAAAAGTTTTTGGTAATATTGGAAAATCAAATCCTCCACTACTTCAGAACTTGTCGCTTGGATTTGATGGTAACAAAGCATGGGGAATTGTGGACGAGAAGGTAATTCTAAACGAGTTTACTTCATATATAAAATTGAGTGGTTGGCGGAAACTTATCTACGCCAAAGATGGAACAACGCCCTTTACTGAAATATCTTTTACCGTGGGGGGTAAAAGCTTTCTTGTCCCAATATTTCAGAGGGGATTTGTACAATTGTCGAGCTCCGGTTTAATTGCTAGGTGGTATAAAATGAGTGAATTGTATACGCCTTTAGAATTCGTATATAAAAGGGATAACAAAAACTACAAAAGATGTTTCCGCAAGGCCATGTCAAGTGGGAGAGAGCAAGTTACATTCCACGAATCGGACCCTGTTTCTATGAAATCTGTAAGAGAGGTATTGGCTCTGTGTGGAATATGTTTGATTTCTGGGGTTGTATGCATTATCGTCGAGTGTAGAAGTGGTATTTATTACTACCTAAAAGTAAAATACGACAAATTCGTAAAGCATGTGAAGGTACCCATTATTCCTAGAATTCACAGATATCTGAACAGAATTAATAAATGTCTCAGTTAGCAAAACAAACTCTAATTGCACTTGTTCAAAGTAAAATATGACAGCTATGTTAATCATTTGGAGGTTATTATTGTCTTTTAAATTAGTAAATATCTACATAATATCTACTTTATAAAATAAGCAAAGTATTATTGTGCTTGTACAAGTGTTATTTTTGGAAACTAAAGAACTAATAATGCACCTGTGCATATTACTAAAGCTCATCTTCCCTGAAGTGCACAAAATTTATTCACTGTCTTCAGAAAGGGATGCATTAATACACACAGTTTTGTTTTTTAACGTTATTCATTTTAAAAATTAGCATTAAACAATGTTCAAAATTAACATTTTTCATTTTTAAATAGTTTCTAAATTAAAATAAAACAATGTTCCCCATGTTTCGCTGTGTTGTTTACCTACTGCTTGAATTTTTCCACGTGTCGTCAATGCATTGATTTAGAATATAGTACACTGGATATACTTAAGCATATTGATACATAATTCTTTGATTGCTAAAATCCTCTAGTCCAGGATTTAGTGATTCATCTGAATTCAATACCGCAAAGCATATTTACACATATCTACATACATATGCCAAGTTCAAATAAATAACGTCCGCCGCACATAGAATAATTGTTTTTCTTCTCAGCCACATCCTGTTTAGCAAATTTAATAAACTTCGTCCTTTGCCTTCAGTTTTTGAGCGCAACGAAATTGCTAAATACGTAAACCAAGAATATATTTCTCGACATGTATTTAAATTATCTCTTGGAGAATCGACTATTTTTGCAATGCCAGATCTTGATGCCTCTTGGAAATGTTATGATAATATTTTAGCATAAGAATAATAGTACCCGGGTTCGTGTGTTTTGATGTACAAGTATCGGCAATACCCTTCCATTCTCCGGATGGTCGGGGTTTTCAAACTTAATAAAACGGACACTAAATATTTTATAGCATTGAGTTGTATAAAATTCTATGAATTAATTAGTCATTAAAATTGATTTCATACGTATGCAGTTTTGTTGCGAAATTGTTGAAAAAGTAGATTGTTTCCGTAACGTAATACATGCCGAATTGACGGTTTTGCCACCAGAACTCCGACAACATACCCGGAATACCCATAAAACCAGGGTAAACGCTCTGGGTCTGGGTTTTTTATAGGAATGCCAAGAACTACAGAGAAATACCCTTGGCCAAAAAAACATGAACAAAATTGATGTCGAACATGATAACGCAAATCTAACATACCAAAGAAAATATGTAAAATTCAAGATTAATTTGAATTTTCACGAGGTGGTTGCTTGTTCTCCAATCCGCTGAAAGGGTGTGGCCTTACAGGGCGCACATTGGACCTTAAACAACTCGCTTTCATTTGTTCTACTCTCTTATCAGCACAACATATCCAACTATATAACTGGCATCAGAATCTGGCTTTGCAAAGCTTGTCAGCTCTCCTTCTTAATTTTTAATGATTGTGGTATATAATACAATTCGATAAACTGGCCAAATGGTCGAGGTTGTGCTTAATTCTTTCCTGTTGTTATAAACAGCAAGAAAAATCAAATATCCTAAGCAGTCCTTGTTCTATTTGCGATATAAATGTTTTTCCAATGAGTTTATTACTTTTTTTTTTAAATTAGTTGAGACGGACATTGTGGGTTGACTTTTAAAATAATTTATTGTCCCTTATTGAGTTTATTACTGTTTCTAATATAGTTGTATCTTTCCCGTGAAAATAAAACATGATTGTGTCCCTCTGTTCATACCCGTATTCAAATTGGGAACCTACGACATAGTGAGATTTTAGGTTGCGTTACACAGTTAAACACAACATTTTGTTTCCCGTAATGCCTACCAAATCATGTATTTACGCCCTGAACTCGTATGCCGCAGTATTTCAGAGGTTCGGAAATCTCCCGCTTCGTTGGGATGTACAAAAGAAAAAGTTCATATACCGACTAAGTCACAGAGAATTACTCTTTTGGTATTTCTGCCTGACAGTTATCTTCTGTTGCGGGATAATATGCCTGAGAGAGATCTTCGTGAAGGTGACTAATGTCACAACGCATATTTTAGTGGTGCAGATATTATTCGGGATGCTTGGAGCCGTTGGAGGGTGCGGGTGCGGATTGCTGCTTCTAATCTATGGGCAAGTAGGGGTGACAACGTGGGATAATATATGCCTGATTGAAAATATACTGAAGAAAGGTATGTCATTTAGGTACTGTTGAAACCTATTTTTATGTGGGCTACTTCAGAATTATTATACAATGTTCAGGATTCTCTAGAACGTTTCTCTTACAGAGTCCAAAACGTCCCCGAAAAAAACACAAGATGTTGGAGCTTTTTACCGATGTGAACGTGCTAGTCATGTTATCTTGCCCTTTCTTCTCCGTTCTTTTATCGTTTTTCGGAACTTGCTTCGAATTGGATCCGTTCTACTTCGTTTCTAAAGCGTTCTTACCAAGTCACATCTTGCAAAATCATTCGATTAAGATTTTCGCCGCAAGGTTTATAATAACCACAACCTGCATCTTTGATTTTACGTGGATGGCTGCTTTAGCGTACGTCTTGGTGTACGGGACAGTCGACTTCATGTTTACAGTCATAAACCACCTGACACGGGGAAAGCTCTCCTTCAAGTTGACCCGACTTACATACGCCATGGTAAATCTTTACCTTCGATGTCAGCAGGGGCTGTCCGATTGCGCCATGAGTTCGTTCATAGCATCGTTAATGGGAACTACTATTATCGCCTCGTACCTGTCCATCTCTGCGTACACCGTAACTCCAGGAGCAATCTATTGGATTTTTCCCTACCTCGACTTTTGTAGTGTGTGCATCCTTCAAATCCTCCTAACCCCCTTCATCTACATGTTAGAAGGGTCGACCGGGATCATTCTAAATTTAAAACTCCTACCAGCCTATCTTCCACAAATCGAGGATGGCAAGCCCTCCAATCGAAGGAAGTTAATAAGAAGGCAAATCAGTGCGCTACGACCGTTCACATTTTATGCGGGTTTGTTTGATTATAGATTCCACAAATTGGAGAAATCCACTAAAATCTCGATTATTGCGAATATTGCTATGTTCACTATAACCGCGCTTTTGGCATAGATGAATTAAAGTCTTTCAGTCAACAAGTGTTAATTAAAGTAGAACAAAATAACTAACGTAATTTATTTTCAGATTAAGAATAAAATGTGATGAGGAAAATAATTCGTGCACATTGCATGTATCTGAATGTTTCACATACTACATATCCCCACTTTTTTAGGTCATTATTTAGTTGAATGAATGCTAATTTAAAAACTCGCATTCATGTGTGTAATCTGTAAGTCAGAGCTGATAAGTACGAATGTAATAAAATTTTATCAATTGCAACAAAAGTAATTTCATCGTTATTTATTAATAATTACAAATTATCGGAAGATTAGAATTTTAACCCTTAAGGTAAAATTTCCAATTAAACAGACCCCCTTATTGTAAGACCTAACTAATTACCAGCTAGAAAGGTTCTACGTCTTAAAAAAGATTGGGTCGATGTAAAAAAATACTTATCTGGAGCAAATGAAACAGTATAAAAACTCTAATCGAGCAATAATAAATTACTCTATTTAATTATTTCAATTTAATTAAATACTTGACAAAGACTATGCTCTGATTTATTCTCTCTCGCATACATGCATACCTGCTTGCTTACTTTTTTAACTGACAAAAGGAATGATCCAGAAAAATGCAGTTACTTCAAGCACTAAATTTAAAATCTTGGGGAAAAACAAGACTATGAATTCAGACCCCCCTAATGGCCTTCATCGATTAGAAGCAAGTTCAAGGTTTGATTCACACAGAAATCCTGGATTACCAATGGGGTTCCCTTGTCGACATAGTTCGACCCGAATTTTATCTTCAAAACACCACAGGACCTGATCTCCCGCGCCAGCACGGATCGCCTCCCACCGAATTGAATGCTATGCCTTTCCTGCATTTTCAGCATTTCAGTCGACGTCGTATTCACTCTGGAGGCCAAGGTGAACACGAATCCGTTGACGACAGCACAGTCCAACATCATCAGGGGAAAAACGAGCAATCCCGGCATCGGGATTTCCCCGTGCATCTTGATACAGACGAACTGACAGGCTACCTGTTACATGTTCAAAAAATAGTTATTCATAGATCATTAAATCAATGAATGTGAACATGTAAACCTGCAGGATGGGCAGCATTGTAATAACCGTGGGTGTCATTCGGACCATGAGGTGTCCATTCATGTATTTTTCTAAGATTTGAATCCTCCTATAGAGACTGAGACAGGCCTGACTTTCCGAAACCGTTCTAGAGCTCGCGAGGCGCCTACATATTAAATAAACCGTAGTAACGTTAGAAGTAGCTCACTCTGTAATAATGCCTTGGTTATAACTTAGCACCAAAGGTGCGGTGTAACTCGACAAACATACTTTTACAATTCTGCACCAATGGTGCAGAATGGTGCAGAATTGAACGAGTAAGATATGCATATATAATGATTTGCTATAACTTTATACCAAAGGTGCCGAATAATCGCGCAAAATATACATATATATGTATAAAAGTTATACAATTTTTGCACCATTGATGCAGAATAATCGAACAAATACATATCGTATTGTCATATAATTTTGCACCAATGGTACAGGATAACCAGAAAGAGTATGTAGGTATGTAAAAATGATATATTTTTGCACCAAGGGTGCAGAATAAAGAGCCAAAATAAATATCTAATTTTGACATAATTTTGGTTTTCCTCCGGAGCCATGAACTCGTGGTGGTAAATTTTTAACACCACCTTTCATCCAGTTATTCAGAACTATTTGTATTGGTGCATGTGGCATCGATTCTCCCAATTGTTTCGCATCATTTTTGATAACCGATTGTTTGATACTAACGGTGCTACTTATTACAATATTGGAGTACTTTCTCGATCAACTTTCCCAATTGATTCGCACCATTTACGTTCGGATTTTTCAATACCAATGGTGGGACTAAGTTATTCAATTATGGACATGGGGATTATTAATTAGCATCAATTGATGCAAAAAACTCGTGAACACACGGACGGACGGACAGACGGACAGACGGACAGACAGGCGGACAAGAGGAATTCAATAGCTCCCATGCTACGCAGGGTGAGCTAATAATATATGACGTAATCATACATGTTCAAGTTCATTCATTTAATGAT